ACACACAGTCTCGGTTGTATCGTCAGGGTTTTCATCGGGTCCTCTGGGAGGAGTAACTGGATACATGAAGACGACGTTTTCTTTGTAACGTGTCCCCCAGTTGTGTCCGCAAGAAAAAAAAATGTCAAACATCCATTCTGCGAGGCTCTGGAGCCCCCCGCCCCCCCCCTCGTTAACGGAGTGCGGGGGGAAAACGCGAAACAGAAACGCAAAAAAAGCGAGCAAAATACGGGGGAAAAAATAAGCACAGCTACTGTTTGTTCGACACGAAAAACAAAAAGGTGTTTCTTGTAACACGGACCTGAGCCTCCTCTGCCGCGGCCTTGGCCTCCTGTCGGCTGGCGAGGGCGTCCTTCAGCCGTTTCATGATCCATGGAGCCTTCTCCGGACCGGTCTCGTTGAGGATCTTCTGCACCGTGGAGATTTGACCCGCACGGAAGAAGACGCGGGTCCTGCCCAGCCGGAATGCTTCCGAGGGCACCTGGGATGGGATGGAATCACCACCACGGCACATGGTTTAGGCGGGGCTCAGGGCTAAAAAGGCGGGGCTCAGGGCTAAAACTTGACACGGTACACGTTTTCGGGGTGGCGAGTTGTGTTTTTTCATCACGGAATGCGATTCACGGAGTGCGCGTTCCAGGACAAAAGACGCGGTACGGTTTGCGGGTGGCGTGTTTGGCGGTGTGTCTTGTCAAGGAACGCGGGTCGCCACCATGGATACGGTACGGTACGATACGGTATGGGGTAGGACGTAGACTGGGCGAGCACGGAGTGATTGCAGGGTTGGTGAGTGTGAGGAGGAGTGATATATTCTGAGCTACAAACTCGAACAACCAAGGTGTAAGGTCGCAGATGTCGGGGTTGTGAAGCGTCCCACATGCCGAGCAGCAGAGCCCCCAGGATGCTTGCAATAGGTGGTGCACCGTTGGCACTTCTGAGCGGTAGCGGTGTCAAGGACACAACAGCAACACTGACACCAACACACCAATACAAGAAAGAGATACCGACCTACTCCTACACGAGCTTTTGAAAATCACATCAAACCAAATCAGAACAAGGGCGGACTTCGAGTCTACACTTATCAAAAGCCGTAGGAACACTTCTTTTTTTTGGTTAAGGTCTGAATACCTCGAACGCCCAGAGGATGGACGCGATGAGCGCGGTCTCAGGCTCCCCCTTGAACAGCTTGTCTGCCTCAGCGGCCTTGTCGCCAAGAACCTGTGCAAATACGCACGGGAGAGACGAAAAATAAAAAAAAAAGTTCCAAGAAAAGGCGGAGGCGGTGTNGGGGGGGGGGGGGGATGGCAGCAACGGCGGAGGGATTCATTCCTATCTCGTTTGAAAGCGAGTTGTCCACAATGCGACAGAAGCAAGGGGAGATCGTGAGTGAACAGACAAGACCATGAATAAACCGTTGCACGCCAGAGGCTCAGGCGGAGCAGGGTGGGATGAACGACACGAGTGTAGTGGGCGTCGTTACCTCCTTGAGCTCGGCGTACGTGACGCGGGTGGGCATGCCGACCTTGAGCACTTCGCACGTCTGCAGGATGCCCAGGCACTGCAGCTGCTCCACGACGTACCTATCCGGGGGGGGGGGGGGGT